ATAGAATACAGATTTTATTACATGAACTATAAAGTATAATTTAAGCTCTAATAACTGCTTTATTCTCTAAAGAAAGTCTCACGATTTTCTTATCAAGACTTTCTTAGTTAGTAGAGCCACTGCAGCACATCAGAGTGTGTGTGTGAGTGTGTATCTCAATGTGAAGGACCAGATTTAGATCTTTTGTTGCATGTCCACACATTTTTGCCAGATTGAACAAAAAAATCTGACGTGTTTCATAGTTTTATGTGCAGCATTTCACTATTTTGTGTTCACACTAACATGCATAATGCAACAGCGCTCACCTCAATGCATTTTAATAAGAGTCCATTTCCTGACACGGAAACAGGCGAAATCTTTGACCGCAAATGGCAGCACTTACTGGTCTGCGGTCAGACAGATGTGTGTGTGTGTGTGTGTGTGTGTGTGTTTCTGAAGGACTTCAAGTGTCAGGAAGTACTTGAGTACTGTGGTCATATGTAAAGCATTTTTCTTAGCGTGTGTATGTTTGCAGGGCCCATTGAGTGTCAGGAAATATGCTCTGATCACCGAAGAGCTCTTTTTTTAATATCGCAGTTATTAAAGGAAGATCAGACTTAGGTTTTAGACGTTCCTCCCGTAGAAAACTCTCTCATATGTCTTGATATGAACTCCTGTTGAACTCGGGTTATTAAAGTTAACCAAAACCTTTTTTTGTTATTTGAAACAACATGAATGTTTATTGAAATAAAGCTGTGTGTGTGTGTGTGTGTGTGTGTGTGTGTGTGTGTGTGTGTGTGTGTGTGTGTGTGTGTGTGTGTGTGTGTGTGTGTGTGTGTGTGTGTGTAAAAGCTTTTTATAACTTAGGCCATTGCAGACCACATCATTTAGCGTGATGTACAATCAAATTGTTTTGCTTTTATTTATCTTTGCTGACTTTTAGTAACTTTAGTTTAACATGAGTTCTTATGGAGACATGAGATTCCTTGTGTTTTACTTTCATTCCACCACGTCTTCAAGGAAATGTATATAAAATACTCAATAAGTAAAAGAAAAAGTAAGAAATAAATGAATAAAAAAGGGTGACACAGTGGCTCTGTGGTTAACACTGTTGCCTCACAGCAAGAAGGTCGCTGGTTGCATGTTCTCCTCGTGTTGGCGTGGGTTTCCTTCAGGTGCTCCGGTTCCCACCACAGTTTAATCACATGTGATATAGGTGAATTGAATTAGCTAAAATGGCCGTAGTGTATGAGTGTGAATGAGTGTGTATGGGTTTCCCAGTACTGGGTTGCAGCTGGAAGGGCATCTACTAGGTAAAACAAATGCTGGATAAGTTGGCGGTTCATTCCACTTTGGTGACCCCTGATGAATAAAGGGACTAAGCCGAAAAAAAATGTTATAAGGCAGACATGTTAACGTTTTATTAACAAATTGTCAAGGAGAAAAAAAAAAAAAAAAAAAAAAATATATATATATATATATATATATATATATATATATATATATATATATATATTAAAACAATAAATAAATAAAATAAAAATATAGATATATTTAATAAATAAAATAAAATAATAAATACTGTATTATTATTATTATCATTATTATTATTTCTATATTTATTTATTTATTTATTTTATTATTTGGTTTATTTAAAAAAAAACTCTTAAACATTTAAATTAAAAGAGAAAAAATAAATTAAAACTACAAGTTAAAAAACTATTTAGAATTTTGTTCTACAACTCATCAAGGAAATATAGAATAAAACAATAAATAAATAAAATTAAATAAAATTATAGTCATATTTAATAATTAAATAAATTTTGTTATTATTGTTGTTATTAATAATTTGTTTTTATCTTTTTTTCTTTTTAAATTGTTTTAACAAACACTTGAGCATTTCAATTAAAAGACAAACTAAAAACAAATTAAAACTGTATTTTTTGTGATTAAGTTTTTATTGATTTTATATGTGAGTAGTAACAGCATCTTTACAATTTTCTTTCAATAAACAAAACAAGATCCACTCCTCAACCCAATTATTATTATTGTTATTATCATTTTATTTGTATTATGTATTTTATTTTTTGACAAACACCAGAACATTTAAATTAAAAGAGAAAAATAAAAACAAATTTAAACTATAATTTGAACAAACAATTTATAGTTCTATTTCAACAAATCATCAAGAAAGTATATTTTAAAAAAATATAGACATATTTAATAGATAAATAAATAAATAAATGTTGTTATTATGTATTGATTTATTTATATATTCATTTCTTTAATTATTTCGACAAACACTTGAACATTTAAATTAAAAGAGAAAAATAAAAGCAAATAAAGCTGTATTAAAAAAACTATTTATAAATATAAATAAATGCTGTTGTTATTATGTATTTATTCATTTATTTATTTATTTATTTATTTTGACAAACATTTGAATATTTAAATTAAAAGAGATAAATTAAAACAAATTAAAACTATAATTGAAAAAAAAAACTATAATGGTAACTAAATTATACTATAACCATAAAAATCATTAAAATATATGTTTTTAACTGATTTAACTGATTTATACATACATTTTTCTTAGTTTTCTACATATTTAATATGATTAATCTTGTTTGAGTAGTCAGAGTGTCTTTATTGGTTATTTATTGCTATAACCTTTAAAAAGAAAGTTATCAGTGCAAATTTAGATAGATTTAGTGTCTTTGAAAAACCCTCAGTGTGTGATGTGTGTGTGTGAGTGTGTGTGTGTGTGTCTCTTCCTCTCTCATTTCTTCCCATTCTTCCTACTGACCCAATATCCTTCCCAGATACCTTAATGTCCTTCATAAGCATCTTATAATATGCTTTACCAACATTAAAGTTTCTGGTTCGGTATTCTTCACCTGTATCATAATTTATTATTGGTCACACTTTATTTTAATATACAATTCACTCTGTTAACAAAGCATCAACTGAGACCTTTAGCACAGTCAAACACTTCTGAATATTGCTTCACAGCTGAGACGAATCCCATCGAGACGGATTATCCTCCAGATTATGTGGAGATCGCCATCTACTGTATAGGTGTGTTTCTGATCGCCTGTATGGTGGTGATCGTGGTGGTTTGCCGGATGAGGACGTCGGCTAAGAAGCCTGATTTCAGCAGTCAGCCAGCAGTGCACAAGCTCACCAAACAGATCCCCCTGCGCCGCCAGGTAACAGAAAGTAGATAAAGAGTTCCAGAAACCTTATACACACTTACATTCACACTAATAATGACAATAAGCACGTTTACATGGACACCAATTCTCCGATTTTTATACGATTAGGACAATACTCTGATCAAAAGTCCACTATGTAAACAGCGATTTTTTTTTTTTATTACCTTATCCAACTAAACATAAATGGAGTTAAGACTTGGAGTATTCCTATTTTACTGGCATTATTGAAGTGCAGTACAGACATGTAAACACCACAATCAAACTATTGCCGCCGTGTAGGACTTTTAGGCGCATTTTTTGATAGGATATTCCATACACACACAGCTGTTTCACACAGCTGTTTGTTATGCCACAGCCATGTCACCCTGCAGCCCAAGACCGGTTACTCACTGAAGCTAAGCAGGGCTGAGCCTGGTCAGTACCTGAATGGGAGACCACTAGGGAACACTAGGTTGCTGTTGGAAGTGGTGTTAGTGAGGCCAGCAGGGGGCGCTCAACCTGTGGTCTGTGTGAGTCCTAATGCCCCAGTAAAAGTGAAGGGGACACTACACTGTCAGTGGGCGCCGTCTTTCGGATGAGACGTTAAACCGAGGTCCTGACTCTCTGTGGTTATTAAAAATCCCATGGCACTTCTCGTGAAAGAGCAGGGGTGTAATTCCGGTGTCCTGGCCAAAGTCCCACTATCGGCCCTTACGATCATGACCTCCCAATCATCCCCTTCCACCGAATTGGCTCTATCACTGTCTCTCCACTCCACCCATAGCTGGTGTTTGGTGAGCGCACTGGCACCGTTGTCCTGTGGCAGCCGTTGCATCATCCAAGTGGATGCTGCACACTGGTGGTGGTGTGGAGAGACCCCCCCTCATGATTGTGAAGCGCTTTGGGTGTATGGCCATACACAATAAATGCGCTATATAAATACACGTTAAATTACATTACATTACTATTCTCTGCACCAACTGAGTCAGTAAGTGATTACAGATACTTTTTTCCCTTTCCATTCGGTATGTGGTATCATATTCCATTAAAACAACACTCTTCCAGCAGTTCTTACTTCATACTCGCATCCAAAAGTTTGTCATGGGGGCATGAATGAAATGTTCCTGAATGAAAATGAAAGTGCCAATTTGCAGTTAAAGGTGAAAAATTAACTCAAAATTACATAAAACTCTGGAGGAAACGTCGATAGTGTGATGACGCAATGACGTAAATCGATCTACAATTGAAGTCAGAATTATTAGCCACCCTTTGAATTTTTTTAAATATTTCCCAAATGATGTTTGACAGAGCAAGGACATTTTCACAGTATGTCTGATAATGTTTTTTTCTTCTGGAGAAAGTCTTATTTGATTTATTTCGGCTTGAATAAAAGCAGTTATTAATTTTTTAAACACCATTTTAAGGACAAAATTATCAGCCCCTTTCAAGCGAATTTTTTTTGTCTACAGAACAAACCAACATTATACAATAACTTGCCTAATTACCCTAACCTGCCTAGGTAACCTTAATGACCTAGTTAAGCCTTTAAATGTCACTTTAAGCTGTATAGAAGTGTCTTGATAATATCTTGTCAAATATTATGTACTGTTATTATGGCAAAGATAAAATAAATCAGTTATTAGAAATGAGTTATTAAAACTATTATGTTTAAAAATGTGTTGAAAAAAATCTGCTCTCCGTTGAACAGAAATTGGGGAAAAAAATTAAACCGGGGGGCTAATAATTCTGATTTCAACTGTATGTACTATAACATGTAAAACGGGAGCATGAAAGGAACTTTTAAAAAAGCAACTCTTGTAAACACCTTCATCATATTGTTGTCTTATTCAGATTAGGGCAAATATTTCGATTACTGATGTCCATGTAAACATAGTCAATGACCTTTTATTTATATAACACATTTAAAATCAACCCAAGTTGACCAATGTGCTTCAAAATAACTAAAAACCACAAACAAGAGTAAGTCAGTGTCAAAAACTAGTTAAAAAAAAACATTTGGAAACAATAGCAGGAAACATTTGGATTGGAAATGTGAATTTAATGTTTTAGGAGCTAATTTATGAAGTGATTTGTGAATTTAGTGATTTAAAATTACCTCTTACTTTTAAATTAATGCATTTTGGTGTGAACTTTATTATATATCTATTTATATGTATGTATGTATGTATGTATGTATATATATATATATATATATATATATATATAAGCTGTATAGAAGTGTCTTAAACATATCTAGTCAAATATTTACTGTCATCATGGCAATAAATCAGTTATTAGAAATGAGTTAATAAAACTATTATGTTTTAAAATGTGTTGAAAAAGTCACCTCCGTTAAACAGAAATTGGGGAAAAAATAAACAGGGCTAATAATTCTGATTTCAACTTTATATATATATATATATATATATATATATATATATATATATATATATTCATGACATTGTAATTTGTTGAATAACATCAAGTTCTTTTGTTGAGAAGTCGAAGGTATTCAGTATGGTGGTAAGTTCTAACATGCTTTCACATATTTATCCCACATTAAGAAACCCAGCAATACAACTGCATGATTATTAGCTAAACATACCTTACACAAGAATAAATGGCAATATCTTCCCTATCATATAGATCACAGTTTACAATAATAAATATTTGACGATACACATAAACACATAGCAGTTAATAGAGTATGCTGCTGTCTCCAAGACTCAGGTGATCAGCCAATCATATTTCACCCTACAGGTGTCGTCAGACTCCAGCTCCTCCATGAGCTCTAGCACGCCATTGGTCAGAATCACCACTCGCCGGAGCTCCGCCCACGATGATCCCATTCCAGAATACGACCTCCCTGAGGACCCACGCTGGGAGTTTTCTAGAGACAAGTGAGCAACTTTGTGTTTTACCTCATAGTTAACTTGGCCTGTTAAGCATTGTTTGGGAAATATTTGAAATATATATATATATATGTGTATGTATGTATGAATGTATGTATATATATATATATACATATATATATATATATATATATATATATATATATATATATATATATATATATATATATATATATATATATATATATATACATACATACATACATACATACATACATACATACATACATACATACATACATACATACATACATACATACATACATACAAACATACATACATACATATATATATAAATATATATATATATATATATATATATATATATATATATATATATATATATATATATATATATATATATATATACATACATATACATATGTATATATATATATATATATATAACATGAAAACTGATTTCAGTTCATTGTATTGCTTTGCTGATCTTAAAAATTATTAGGTTCATAAATTACTATCTTCCTTTTTAAAATTGTATTTAAAAACAGTTCTGTCCAAACCCGAAGTATAACCCTGCATGTTTTCTACTTGTAAATCATCGTGATGTGAAACTAATCTTGAAAGTATGCTTACAGTCCCATTATGTCTGATTATTAACCTGTGACTTATGCAGGCGCAGCGTACAATCAATCATTCATAACACAGCACAGACCTCCGCCTGTTACCTTTATTACATTATTAGACTATTATTCTTGCCCAAATCGAGCACACATTTTTCTCATTTTCTGGCAGCTTTCAGAGCAAATGTTAACTTCTTGTTATCCTCCATAGCACAAATTCACTGCAGGACCATACAAGATTAATGTTTAATTGTCATGTTTAATATTCATATTAAGTTCCCGGTATCATTTTCTGTGGATTAATCGTCATGGGTTGCCAAATCCTTACAGATTTGCAATTAATGAAGCTGTTTAAGTAATCAGTCATGGCCATGGTAGTTAAACAGGTGTCTGTTTGTACTTTATTTGTTCAAATAAAAGTACAAACTTCAAAGCAGCATTTGGTCCAATTAACAGTATCACCAATTCTGAATTATGGGGATTTAATTTATAGATCAGCTTCAAAATCTCTTCTTCAAAATCTGAATGTTATTTATCATGCAGCAATTTGTTTTGTTACTGGTGCACCATTTAATACTCATCACTGTCCACTGTATTCTTCACTGAATTGGGCTTCTCTTCAATCACGTCGACAAATTCATTGGTTTCTGTTCATTTACAAAACTCTTATTAGGAAAACTCCACTATATTTACAGTCACTTCTTAACATTCAGGAAGCATGTCGAAATCTGCGATCTAGCAATTTCATTAACCTTTGCATACCCAAAGTTCGCACTTCATTTGGTCGATACTCTTTTCAGTTTTCTGATGCTTGTAATCATCTGCAGCAGACCTTAAAGCTCAGCACTTTCATTCCGCTATTATCTTTTAAAAATTCAATCCAGCCAATAGTTCAAGATCACTGTGCTTGTTTTTTTGTTTTTTTTGTTGGTTTTGTATGTTATTAACTGCATTTGTGAAATTGCGATTGTATTGTGTCCCTACTGCTTTGTACTGCATCTGCTTTTCATGTTGCCTCTTGGCCAGGTCGTCATTGTAAATGAGAACTGGTTCTCAATTGACTTACCTGGTTAAATAAAGGATTATTATTAATTAACTTAAGGGAATTGGTAAACAGGCGAAGCAGTGGCGCAGTAGGTAGTGCTGTCGCCTCACAGCAAGAAGGTCACTGGGTTGCTGGTTCGAGCCTCGGCTCAGTTGGCGTTTCTGTGTGGAGTTTGCATGTTCTCTCTGCCTTCGCGTGGGTTTCCTCCGGGTGCTCCGGTTTCCCCCACAGTCCAAAGACATGCGGTACAGGTGAATTGGGTAGGCTAAATTGTCCGTAGTGTATGAGTGTGTGTGTGGATGTTTCCCAGAGATGGGTTGCGGCTGGAAAGGCATCCGCTGTGTAAAAACTTGCTGGATAAGTTGGCGGTTCATTCCGCTGTGGCGACCCCGGATTAATAAAGGGACTAAGCCGACAAGAAAGTGAATGAATGAATGAATTGGTAAACAGTTTAACACTATTATTAGCTCCAAAAGAAAACCAGGGCTTTATTCATTACATTAATGTTGGTAACATTGGAATCAGTCATTTGTTTCAGAATTACTGTAAGTTGTTTATCATACTGTGGATCACAGCACTTCTGTTCAAAACTAATGATCAGGGGTGCATTTCACGAACAACGACATAACTCATGGCTGAACTATCATAGTTCGATCTAGCGTTTGGGAATAAAACGATGTAGTGTTGAGTGTGTCAGAATATGTGTGCCACCCAAATAATGACCTATACTCTTTGAGAACGTGTTTTTCAAGCCAGTTTGTGCATTAGACCAGGGGTTCATCTCCTGTTTCCAAATGCATCATAAACTGCTTGAGAAACTGTTCTACTCTGATAATTGGTGATGAAAATAAATGATGTTCAATAAGACGTACACTCTCACCAGTCCTTACTCCTTGCGTCAAGCGCAAGTGATTTACATGCAAACGCGCAAAGACATCCTGCGGCGCAAATTGCGCGAATGGCGCGGTGCGAATATCGCGATACGCGCGAATGGCGCGGGGCGAATGGAGCGCTTTGCGCGTTTGACGTGATTAACATGCGTTTCTCGCGAATCTCTCAAATTCGAAAATCTAAACTTCAGCGGACATTCGTGCCGTGTTAACCAATCAGAAGCTTGCTCCTGTGGGGGCGTGATTGTGACGTAGAACCTGTTGATGGTGTCCCGGGGGAATTCCTCCAGACGACACCGACAACAAGTCATCAAACTGGGCTTGGCTCAGTCAGAAGCACCGTTGAAAGCCTACGTGATCCAGGTTCAGTTTCTGGAGGAGTTTATGAGCTCACAGAGCTGGATGCACCTCTGAAAGCATGTAGGGGACTCAGACACGGTCCTAAACGTATCGACGCTGTTTTTCAGCCTTCAAAAAGTACATAAGCACTGTTATTTTCTTCATAAAATCCATGTTAGCCATTAAGCAACGAAGCTACAGTCACCGGGCAGACAGAAGCCTTGCCCATCACGTGAATTCGCGTGTGTTCTGAAGTGAATTTGACACGCGAATGAAGCGGATTTCGCGGGGTTGAAGCGGGGTTTGACGCACGAATGAAGCGAGTAAACTCAAATGTTTAATCGGCTATTTACGCGAGAATATCGCGATTTATCTGCGCGTTCCGCGTCTGGTGTGAACGCAGCATAAGAACCCTGTAAAGATGTCTTACAGTTGTACAGGCGATATTGTTTCAGACAAAATCTATTCAAAGTGGTTCATATTCAACCCAAATCAATCGCGGCGACGAGCACACTGTTCGCTTGAGTCTAAAAAAAATCATGTGCTCAGCCGGCTGAAATCATGTCGTGCGCACCCAAGCAAACCTCCGCAAACATGACGTCACATTTACCGCGCACACTCAAGCGAACTAGCGGACGTGTCAAGTATAAACCAGGCTTTTAGAGGGGATAACTGGGAGCTATTCTTCTAACTGCAGCTCTAGAGGTGGAGTTGACAGCGAACTATTCTTCTAACTACATCGGTGGAGTTGCAAACGTACAAGTTTGCAATGCAATTTGAGTATTTTCATTGGAACAATGAATTCGGGAATTACCAAATCAATGAACCATGTTTGTAACGACGGAACTTGTGATCTTAGTTGACTAACAATGGTTTTCAGAAATGCACCCCAGGTTGTTGTAGAGTTTAAGGGATGGAAGTTTCCACCCATTAAATGAATTATTGCTTTTGGGCGGACAAGCTAAGGCATGTAGAGTAGAATCCATGAAAAGATCTGTTGGATTTTTGTTTTTATTTTGTTGTAATTACCAACAACAAAAATAACTTTACCCCTTTAAAAAGCTGCGAGTTGTAATTATTATGATTTTATACATAAAAATAATGTTTTTCCAGCATCATTTCCAACAATTTCAATCAGTTCTAAGATGAAAACTGATTAGTAGAATTTTTCTAATCAATATTTATATATTTTTGTGTGTTTCTATTTAATCTATTCAAAACTTTATTATAATTTTCATAAATCAGTCTATGACTGCTGTTGGTATTAGTCAAACTGTTTATTTTTATTATGTCCTAATAGAACAAAGCTGTGTGTGTGCGCGCTTGCTGTCTTCATCTCGGCATGATGTGCCTTAGGGCTCATGCCATCAGAAGTCTGAGGAATGTTAGCGTTAGCGTCTGTGTGGAGTATAAACATAACATTGATTATCTGTGGTGGGCTGAGAAGACAGAGGCCTTCATTGAGCGTCCGGCACAGAGGGGGATTGTGTTTTCACAGCCACAGATCGGCCCCGGGCCTCGGTGCGGGTGTCAGTGTTTATATAGCCCAGTGCTGGATGGGGCCGAGACTGAGACACAACTGCCAATCAAAGGCTGACTGAGGGCCACTGCAGGGCCAAAGGGCCAACGGCACGGTCGCTGTGTGTGTGTGAGAGGTTTAATGAGTGAGAGTATGTTTGTTTATGATCTATAGCTAATTATTAAACAAATTTACTGAATATGTGTGTTAATGCTGGATGAATGCAGTTTTTTACAATTTTTTTATATAATTTTTTTATGAATCTATTTAATTTGACATTATATGTACTATTCTATGCAATTTATAACAAAATTATATTAATCTACATTTTATTAAGCATATAGTTTATAAATTTCTTTCTGCACTGTAAAAAGAATAAGTTACTTAAAAAAACGAGTAAATACATTAATTAACTGAACTCAATTTTTATAATTATGCACATAATTCATTTGCTTACCTATTTTAAGGCAACATTATAATAGGTTTTGCTTATTTATAAGCAAATTGTTTACTTACATTTTGGAGTAAAAGTCGACTAATCACTTTAAAAACAACCAGTTGACGCACTTTTCTTGAGTAAAGTCAACTAATCTCTTTAAAAGCAACTTGTTTACTAACTTTTTGGAGTAAAAGTCAACTACTCACTTTAAAAACAACTGGTTTACTCACTTTTATTAAGTAAAGCCAACTAATTGTTTTAAAAGCAACAGGTTTACTCACTTTTCTTGAGTAAAGTCGACTAATCACTTTAAAAACAACTCGTTTACTCACTTTTATCAAGTAAAGTCAGTTAATCGCTTTAAAAGCAACTTTTTTACTAACTTTTTGGAGTAAAAGTCGACTAATCACTTTAAAAACAACCAGTTAACTCACTTTTCTTGAGTAAAGTCAACTAATCACTTTAAAAACAACTGACTTACTTCTGAGTACAGTTGACAATCTACTTTAAAAGCAAATTCTTTACAAAATTTTTGTTGTAAAAGTCAACTAATCACTTTAAAAACAACTGGTTTACTCACTTTTCGCGAGTAAAGTCAACTAATCGATTTAAAAACAACTGGTTTACTCACATTTCTTGAGTAAAGTCTACTAATTGCTTTAAAAACATCTGGTTTACTCACTTTTTAAAAAGTAAACTCCATTAATTGCTTTAAAAGCAACTGGTTTACTGACTTTTTAAGTAGTCGACTAATCTCTTCAAAAGCAATGGGTGTATTTACTTTTTTAAGTACAGTCAACTAATCGCTTAAAAAGCAACTGGTTTACTGTCTTTTCAAGTGACAAATGTGCACACGTTAGATTATTACTTTTAAAGCAGATTTTCATTCTACTGGTTGCACAAAACTAGTTAATTTAGGAACATGCACAGAAAAACACACACACTCTTTATCACTTTAAGAAGGTGTGAGTCTCGTGACTGCTGGATGACTTACAAGCCTCTGTGTATACATGCTGTAATCTCCTCCGCACTTGACCAGAGCACACTAGTCAAGCGTTAACCCTGCTATCCATTCCTCTCTCTCTCACACACACACATACTCCAAGAAAGTCTTCAAATCCCTGAAGGCATATTGTTGGTCACCCCAGAGGAGCGTAACTCTAGATCTTCCCGCCAGACATTCATCTGTCCCACTCGCTAATGTCTAATGTAAGCTTTGCAGAGGAAGCCAAAGGGTATCCACTTAACACCTACGAGTAAAGTAAACACAACACAACACATGCACACACATCTCGGATAGAGATGCTGAGGTGATGCTAATGCTTGCGTTTGACGTAAACAAATCTATAAACATACATGATAAATAATATAAGGTAATTAAAATGTTACATATTTCATGATGCACATGTTTTTTTCTGTATTGGACATGTCATGTTTTTTTTTCTTGGGAATAATATTTGAGGAGTTCAGATGCAAAAACCTCTTGGTGCCGTCTGAAATTTCCATGGAAAATGAGCATTTTTCTCAGACTCCCGTGTTTATGTTGAGCTATTTCATTTTAAAGACCTTTAAAAGAGTGTATTCTTTGCCATAAACTTGTAATGACTGAACCTACACACTGAAGTTTGATAAAAATGCTCATTTATAAAGGGAATTTCAAACAGCTTTTAGAGGTTTTTGCATTAGAACTCTTCATTTCTAACGGAGCTTTTGATATGGAATTGAACCAGATTTAATACTTCATACAAACATCTTAAAGATGTCTCTCTTATGGGGAATGAAGTGGCATGCATTGCTCAGGTGTGAGTTTTTCACAGACTTCAACAGAAATCCTGATAGTTCTGTGGGTCTCATCTTTAACTCTGAACTTTATTTTGTATTTTCAATTGGATTCAAGTCAGGTGATTGGCTGGGCCGTTCTACAGCTTGATTTTCTTTCTCTGAAAGCATTTAAGAGTTTCCTTGGCTGTGCTGTGGATTATTGTCTTGCTGAAATGTCCACCCTGATTTCGCCTTCATCCTCCTGAGAATGTAGATGTTAGTGATGTGACGTTGTGCATCAAGGCTTCGAAGCTTCAAAAACGATACATCTCGCAGTGAAGCAGTGTACCGAAGCTTGATTTGTTTTACCAACATCACGTGATCATTGACGTCCGAAGCTTCTTTTCGCTTATACCCACGTGACTGCTTCAAATTTGGATTCAAAGTTTTAAACACCCTCCTGGATTAGTAAAGTATATTACGAGAGATTAGGCATCGATTACATACATTTCTACTGTTTCAAAGCACTGCACTGGTCCCACGCACCAGTAATTAAACTAAAATGCAATATTAATTTATAGAAAAAAAGGTTTTGAACCATACTAAAGTGTATTAGTGTATTATTTATAACTGCTTTTAAGAAAGGCCACTGCATATTGTAGTGTAGTGTGTAACGGAGGCCAACTGGCGCGAGTGAATCCGAGTCACACTCTCATAGCCTCCTCGTTAGAGCATTTGTCTTACATGCAGGAATCGCCAGTTTGATCCCTGCTTGGAACGAGGCGGTGTGTGAAGGTTCAGTTGAAATAAAACGATAATTGTATAAGCTTTCGATTTCACTACAGTCGTCGGTGGTGAAATGTAACATAACTTACCTGTAATAAACTACAGTAATTGAGTAATTTGTTTATATTACTATTGTTATATTATTACATGAATAAACTGGTCACTTTTGTGAAATTTTTGCAACACAGTGCTTTCCTACACTTTAACCAGCAGAGGTCCTCATCGAGCTTTGACTTGGAAAGCTTCGAGTAACGAACCTTTTTCCGACACAATTGAGTCGAGCGGTTCACTAGTTCAGAAAGCTTCATTTCACCATCACTAGTACATGATAATCAAATACACTGAGGACGGGCAGAGGGTAGATGAATACTGAAAGATTCAGCTGCTGTCTGAGCTTTCACTGCCTTTCTATGCCTCCCTTTCTTCATGTGTTCATAACTTTTCCCTGTGTCATTTCATTTTATTTTGCAAAAATAATTAGATTCGTTTTCTCTGCATATATGGATTTCTTTTGGTTGTTACCGACATCCAGGAAAAAAATTCACGTCAACGGCACCTTCAGAAACATGTTTTCTGAGAAAAATGGTGACGTGTTTAATATTTAGTTATCCCACTTCATTTGATCTTTGCCATTTTTTACTTTTGATGTTGAAAAATTCAGCAATGCCACTTTTATTGACTTTTTAGTAGTTTTAATAAGAATCGATATGTTACATTTACATTTTTGTCCAAGTTCAATTCAGTTCATCCTTATTTCGTTTGCACTTTTATAATGTAGATTGTGTAAAAGCAGCTCAACATAGACATTCTAGTAAACTGAAATTGAAACAGTGTCAGTCCAGTTTTCTTAAAGTGACTTACAGTTGCGGAGGCATTCAGCGATTCAACAAAAAGAGGCAATATGCACAACAAGTGCTAATTAAACAATCAAAGCCAAAAGCGTTTGTTTTTTTATAAAGAGAAGAGTGTTTCTACAGGTGGTTTGTCAAGCCCACTCACCTGTGTGAACCTCACTTACCTGTATATGTGCAGTTTTTTTTTTGTAAGATATATTTAGCGATTATAAGAAAGTTTCAGGTGCAACACTGGTGCAAGTGTCAGTTAAAGTGAAATAATATGTAAATGATTACGTTTGTGAAGAATCTGTGAGTTTATTACCAGTTTTTGTACTTTTGTACTATTAAAAATGTAAATAAAAGCAATTTTGTCAAACTTTTCAACATCAAAATATGTTGGAGGAAATATCAAAGTTTCATAATTCAACTCAAAAGCATAAATAAATTAAAAACAAACCAAACATTAATCATGAAATAAGGAAAACTGTTCATTTAAGTATATTTTTACAGTGTACAGCACATCTGGATGGGTATCTGGATGGGTTGAAAGGCTAATGCTAATAAGTTTGTCTAATGGTTGTGTGTTTTTCTGTGCAGGTTAACTCTGGGTAAGCCTCTCGGCGAGGGCTGCTTTGGTCAGGTTGTGATGGCTGAAGCTCTTGGCATTGACAAGGACAAACCGAAAGAGGCTGTGACTGTGGCTGTCAAGATGCTAAAAG